CCATCCATCCATCCATCCATCCATCCATCCATCCATCCATCCATCCACATACTTATTCATCTCTGTCCTTCTGTCTCTCTATCCGTCTGTCCATCCACCCATTCCCCACCATCCCTGCTCTCCTCACATCCCTGCTGTGTCCTCAGCCACCTTCCCATGTGTCCCCACGACCCCACATCTCGCACCAAGCTGTAGCCGTGCAGCTTTGCACACATGGGTGCACAGCCGAGGAGATGCATGCATGAGTGTACAGGCACCTGCCCGGATGCACTCCTGGCTGCCCTAATGACACTGCAGAAAGGACGGGACCCAGGGGACATTCCTCCTGTCTCTTGCAGGGTGCCAGCCCTCCCAGTCAAGAACCTGAACGGCACCGGCCCCGTCCATCCCGCCCTGGCAGGTAATGGGTGGGGTCCCATAGAGCACCCATAGGTGCTCAGGGGTCGAGCCAGGGATGGAAGGAACAGACAGACACCCCTGTCCCTGTGCAGGGATGACGGGCATCCTGATGTGTGCTGCTGGACTGCCCGTCTGCCTGACCCGTGCGCCCAAGCCCATCCTGCACCCGCCACCCGTCAGCAAGAGTGACATCAAGCCTGTGCCTGGGGTCAGCGGAATCTGCAGGAAGACCAAGAAGAAGCACCTCAAAAGGAGTAAGGAGCTGCTGGAGGGGAAACTGAGGCACAGGTGGTGCTGTGGGTTGGGACCTGAAATGTTGGGGGGATGGCCTGAAATGCAGCGTGCCCCCGAGCCTTAAGGTGATGTCACTGCCCATGGCTCCTCTGTGCCACCTCCTCTCTGTCACTGTCCCCATGCTAGAGGCAGGAGGTGGCAGGGAGGGTTTGGCGGGGGGGGGAGGGGGGTTGTCTGACTGACACCCCTATCCATGGCAGGCAAGAACCCAGAGGATGTGGTGCGTCGCTACATCCAGAAAGTGAAGACCCCTCCGGATGAGGTGAGCCGGCATGGCGGGATGGCAGGGCATGGGCACAGAACATGGTGTGACCCCCATGAAGTGACCCCCGTGCCCCCCCAGGACTGCACCATCTGCATGGAGCGGTTGGTCACCTCCTCGGGCTACGAGGGCGTCCTGAGTCACCGCGGCATCAAGCCGGAGCTGGTGGGCAAGCTGGGCAAATGTGGGCACATGTACCACCTGCTGTGCCTCGTGGCCATGTACAACAACGGCAACAAGGTGAGCCAACGTGGACACGGGGTCTGAGGGCATACGGCAGGAGCTGAGTGCCCACCCTGGCTGTGCCTGCAGGACGGCAGCTTGCAGTGCCCCACCTGCAAGGCCATCTATGGGGAGAAGACGGGCACGCAGCCCCCTGGGAAGATGGAGTTCCACCTCATCCCCCATTCCCTCCCGGGCTACACTGACTCCAAAACCATCCGGATAGTCTACGACATCCCCACCGGCATCCAGGTGAGCCCCCCGCAGCCCCCACCCCAGGGCTGGGTGTCCCCATGCCACCTGCTCACCCCTCTGCTGTCCTCACCAAAGGGTCCAGAGCACCCCAACCCTGGCAAGAAGTTCACGGCACGCGGCTTTCCCCGGCACTGCTACCTGCCCGACAACGAGAAGGGCAGGAAGGTGAGCGGCTCCGTGTCCCCGGGGGTGGAACAGGCAGGGATGTGGCCATATGGATGGGGACATCGGGGTGGAGACATGGGGGTGGCCGTGCCGTGGGGGGGGATGCAGCAATGGCCGTCCCCCAGGTGCTGAAGCTGCTGATCGTGGCGTGGGACCGGCGGCTCATCTTCACCATCGGCACCTCCAACACCACGGGAGAATCAGACACGGTGGTGTGGAACGAGATCCATCACAAGACCGAATTTGGCTCCAACCTGACGGGTCACGGCTATCCCGATCCCAACTACCTGGACAACGTCCTGGCCGAGCTGCTGGCGCAGGGCGTCTCCGAGGCCACCCTCAAGGACTGAGCCCACGGTGAGGGGCTCCCCGCCGTCCCCTCGGCCCCGTGTCACCGTCCCTGCAGCTTCGCCGCCGGCCCCGCGTGGGTTCATCCCCCGGTGCCACCCGCCGCGTGTCCCCGTCCCCTGCCCGGCCTCCAGCAGCGCGGTGCTTTCCTCTCCGCCCACCCGGTGCCCCACGGAGCCGCGTGCAGCCGGTGCCATGTGTACGTCTCTGTGTTACGGAATACACCGCAGCGTCCCGGCGTCCCCGCGTCACCCACTCGTGTCCCCTTGCCGCGCCGTGATATAGGAAAGGGTGCTGGCTGGGGTTGCACGGGGGTCTGTCCCCCGTGGGCCCTCACAAGAGGTGCCAGCGCTGCACACACACGCACGCGCGGCCCGGCGCTCCACGGACACATCTGTGTGCCCCCTTCGTGGGCAGAGGAGAGCGGCGCGGACTACAGCTCCCAGAATGCTTTGCGGCGCGCCGCTGGCTGGCCTTGGCGGCGCAGGGCATGCTGGGAGCTGTAGTTCTGTTCACGTGGCCGTGGCCGCGTCCGTCTCCGTGGCCGTGGGAGGGTTCGACACCCCGTCAACGCGAGCGAAGGCTTCGTGGGCCGCATCCAGATCGCGCAGCACCGCCCGCAGCCGCTCCGCGACGGCTCCACCTGCGGCCGCGCAGAGTCAGCATTCCCACCCGCGACGCACGGCACCCACCCGTGACACCCACTGCTCTCCCCGTCCCACCCCGCTGTGTCTCCTCCCACCTCTCCTCCTCCCCGACATCGGCACGCCTCGTTTGGCGGGGTGCCGGGTCGTGTGCGGGGGGTGCGCGTGGCTGTGCGCATCCGCGCGTGCCTCCGTGCGTGCATTCGGGTGCGCGCGGCTGGGAGCGTGCGTGTGTGCAGCAGAGGGCCGGGGCCTCGCGTGCGTGCGGCCGTGGGGGTTTGCTGTCCCCTGGTGGAGAAAGCACGGCTCGCAGGTGTGCGTGTACGTGGCGTGCACATGTGTGCGTGCTTGTGCACGTATATTGGGCATGCGTGCAACCGTGCATGTGCAACAAGTACATGCATGCGTGCAAGTGTGCATGCAAAGCCCGTGTCCATGTGCCTGTGTGTGTGCATATATGTGTGCACATCAATGCAGCTCGCCCCCCATAACTCCCCCCCCCCCCCCCCAATCCCCATGTTCTCCTACCTCCAAGCTTCAGCTCTGGGCTCTGCACTGCCACGCTGCCCTCGGATTCTCCCACCGCCTCCCTGCAGGACGAGGATGCTGAGTGAACCCGGGGGAGGATGACACCCATGGGTGCCTCCCCCCTGGGACGCAGCCTCACCACAGCCGTGTCCCTGCACGCTGGAGGTGCCCATAGAGGCTCTGTGCCGCTGCCGCAGGGTCCAGGGGGTCACTCCACTCATCCAGTGCCACCGCGCTGTGGGTCCGGCTGCAGCCAGGAGCTATCAAGAAGAGCAGGGTTGGGTGGAGGGGACCCACTGGGGACTCCCTCGTGTCCCCTCTGTCCCCATTACCGGCACGGTTGGGCTGCAGGCAGCAGGTCCAGCGGGCGGTGCGGAAGGTGCCGGGGTGGCAGGTGGGCAGCATGGCCCCATTGGCACTGCTGGCCTGGCGCAGAGCCCACAGCCACTGCCACAGCTCTGGTGCGCTCTGTGGGGACACAGCGGTGGCACCCACCCATGATGCTGGCACCCATCGTGTTGGGCAGCACCACAGTTCCACATGCAGCATCCCCAGGGTGGGCATAAGGTGGCACGGGGACCCTGAGGGGCAGTTTGATGGCACAGGTGGGAGTTGGTGGGGTGGTGGCACTTGGGAACAAGGCTAGTATCACAGTGACCCCAATATGGGCAAGGCTGGTATTCCAGTGACCCAATATTGATCTCAGTACTGACAGAGCTGGTACCCTAATGACCCCAGTGTAGATCCCAGTACAGGCAGGTACACCTCATTAACCCAGTACAGATAGGGGTGCTACCCATTGACCCTAGTGTATATAGGGCTGATACCTCAGTGATCCTACTACAGATACTACTGGATGCCCTAGTGACCCCAGTATAACCAGAACTGATAGCCCAGTGAACCCCACTACAGATACAGCTGCATACCCTACTGATCCCAGCAGTGACCCCAGTACTACTAAAATCTGATACCCCAGTGTTCCCAGTACAGCAGGACTTGGGACTGGGGCTGCCCCCATTGCCCCCACACAGTGGCTGCTGAGTGCTGGGTGGGGGCAGCCTGGAGCGTTGGGGTCCCAGTGGTGCTGGGATGGGGATGTCCACACCTTACACTGGATGTAGGTGGTGCGCAGCTGCCCGGTGCCATCCTGTGCCACCACCTGCATGACGTGGGGCTGCGGGAACGTGCCCTCATCCACGCGCTCCACTGCCCGTATGCGCCCCACTGGGATGCAGCTGTGCTCCTGAAGACCCCAGAATGCTGCACGTCACTATACCCACAGCCTGGCACTCTGCAGCAGGGTGGGGGGACAACAGGCAACACCTACCTGGCACTCGGGGGACTTGGAGTAGGACAGAGCCTGGGCACTGAGCCAGAAGTACCGCTTCTTGAAGGCGAAGCGGGGCAGCAGGGAGGGCTCCTCGGCCTCCCGTGCGTGCAGGAAACCCTCCTTGACTGTGGCCGAGGGACTGAAAGGTGCCACTGACACCATCCCCTCGCCTGCTGTAGCCATGGCACGGGGATGGTGACATCAATTTGGGGTGCCACCATCACCCCAAAAAGCACAAAGATGCTCCCATCCCTTAGGATACAGGACATATCCCCAGGATGGGGTGGGATTCCGTGGTGCCCATGGTGCCTGCTCACCCTGCGTGCTGTCCACCTCGATGAGGCTGTCCAGGAAGGCTCTGACACGAGTGATGCTGGGCAGCAGGACGGTGTTCAGTGGGGCCATCCAGGGCTCCTTGCCCGGTTGCAGTCCCAGGTTGCCAATGCTCTGCAGCGCCTGCCCATGGGAGTGGGATTTGGGGAGGAAAATGGGGAAACAGAGCAATGCAAGGTGGTGGGAGCCAACTGTGGCTGTGCTCAATGCACTCATCCCCAGTGGGAACAAACCAGCTTAAAGCACGTGGCATGGGGGAGGAAAGGCTCTGCCCTTCTTGGGATCCTTGGTCCTTCCTTGGTCACTGTCCTGTGAGATCCCTTTCCCTCCCCAGGGTCTTCCAGCATCCCTGAGGTCCCCTTCCCACCTTGGCATCTTCATCCCCTCTGAGGTCTTCATCCCTTTTGGTGCCCACATCCTTTGTGCTCCCCATCCCTCCCTATGATCGCTGTCCTGCCCTGGTATCCCTGTCTCTCCTTGGTCCCACATCTTCCTTCAGGTCTCTGTCCCTCTTTGCGGTCCCATCCCTTCCCAGGGTCCAGATCCTTCCCCAAGGTCCCCATCCCTTTCCAGAGTCCCCATCCCCCCTCAGGGTCCCCATCCTTTCATGGCAACCCCATTCTTCCTTGGTCCTCCATCCATCCTTCAGGCCCCCATCCATCTTTGGAGTCCCATCCCTCCCTGGTACCCCATCCTCCTGCAGGGTCTCCATCCCTTCTCTGGGTCCCCATTCCTCCTGGTCATCCCAGTTCCTCCCTCTCCAGGGTTTCCCTGGCCCTCTGAGGTCCCCACCCACCCTGGGGTCTCCATCCCTTTTGGTGTCCCCATCCCTTCTGGTGTCCCCATTCCTCCTATGGTCCCTGTTCTTCGATGGCATCCCTATCCCTCCTTGATCCCACATCCCTCCTTCAGGTCTCCGTCCCACCTTGGTGCCTCATCCCTGCCCCAAATCCCCTCCCTCCCCGAGGTCCCCCCACCATGTCCTCGTTCCCCTGAGAACCTTGGCGAGCAGCAAGAGCGTGCGCCCAGTGCGGGGCTCAGCATGCTGCTCCCTCAGGCCAAAGAGCTTCGGGGTGAGGACGGCAGGGGCGAAGAAACGGAGGAAGAGGAACCCACTGATGGCAACGTACTGCACCTCCTGCACAAGGACAGAGCTCAGCACCGGCACTGTGCTGCCCTCCCAGCCCCACAGGGATCCCCACCTCGTGCTGCGGTGAGGGGAAGCGCTCCTCCACCCGCCTGCGGAGCTGCTTGAAGGCCACCCTCATCAGGAGGGGGCACTTGTCCACCGAGCCCACGATGGCATCCACCATGTCCCCCAGGTAGCCCTGCAGCAGCTCCAGGCTGCTGTCTCGCACCTGGGCTTCTGACAGGGACCCCTTGAAGGAAATCCTCCTGTGGAGACACCAGCAGCTCGTGACCACTGAGATGACCCGTGGGTGACACCAAGATGGAGACACGTCCCCACACTCGCCTGCCACGGCTCAGCTCCATCTTGCAGGGGTCCAGTTCCACGTACTTCTTCTCCTCGAAGATGCGGTTCACCACCGGCTTCAGGACCGCATGCAGGTAGGGCAGCCCCACTGCCTGCATGGGGCAGGAGGTCACCACTGCTGTCCCCACACTGTCCCCAGCACTGTGTCATGTCCTGAAGCCATCGCAGGGTGCTGGAGTGATGTTTCCTCCTGGGCTCACCTTCAAGAACTGCTCCACGGACTTGGAGGCCAAAGAGTTGGAGCGGAAAAGGGTATTGGGGTCCGCTGGGAGGGAGTCCACCATGAGCCATGGGGTTGCCCCAGCTGTCCCCAGTGTGCCCAACCCTTTGGTGGCCTCACAGCAGGCTTTGGGGCACCCTGGCAGCCTTCAGGGTGGTTTCCCTTCCAGTTCCCCAGCTGAGGGTCTGCAGGAGATGCTCCAGTCCCTGCATTTACTGGTCTGACCCCAGCACTTACTGGTTCTGGTCAGCTCGCGGGTGATGACGTAGTCCAGGAAGGGCACAGCCAGACCCTGAGCCAGGAAGACCTTCACCAGTTTGGTGGCCACATCCTGCCTGCTGTCCCCTGAGGTCACCTCCTCCAGGACAGCCAGAGCCGTGCTGGCTGCGGGCTGTGAGGAGGGCATGGGGATGTCACACACCATGGGGACAAATGGTACAAGTGTGTCCCCAGCCCACAGAACCCACCTGGCCTGGGGAGCGGAGGGGCTCGGCCAGGAGCTGGATGAGGGGCTGGTAGCAGTGCTGGGGCAGGACTCTGTCCTCCAGCAGCCGCACCGTCAGCCGCAGGGAGCCCAGCTGTCCCCTAAAGTGACAGTGTGATGGGGGAGGCATGGCTGCACCCTGCTCCTCACCCTGTCACTCTCCATCGTCCATTGCCCAGCACTCACCTTGGCTCCTCGGTGCTGCTGGGGAAGGGCAGGAGCTGGAACCAGCCCTCCATGGGACCCGACGCATCCAGGGGGACCTTTACCTGGGGTACGCAGGCAGGGGTTGAGCTGGGAGGCACAGAGCATCATGTATCCCCACATGTATCCAGCTTTCACCTGTCCCAGGAAGTCATTCTTGCCCACGATGTCCCAGTCCCACACCTCCACACTCAGCATGCTGTCTCCTGGCTCATCCTCTGCCAGCTCGAACTCCAGCACTTCATCCCAGTGAGGGAAGCGGGTCTTCTTAATCACCTGCTGGGGACAGGGGGGTGGCAGCAGGGGTTGGAGCCCCAGCCTCTGGGCACCCAGTGCCACCCTTGGCGCTCAACCCCCGACTCACGGCTGTCTCCTGCGTGTGCCCACAGCACGACACCCGGACGAAAGGGTCTGATGTGCCTGAGGGGTCCCGGGGGGCCAGGTCCCTGTGGGAGGATGGGGGTCAGGGGGATGCCGTGGGTACCCGGCCCCTTTGGCACTGTCCCCTGTCCCCTTGTGTCACCACGGATGCAGTGAGGCACTTGTGTGTCAGGTGACACCAGGGAGGGGATGCTGGCAGCTGGTCCCTGGGGGGCACAGGGCACAGTGGAGATGCTGCTGTCCCTCCTGGCTGTCCCCATGGCCATCTGGTTGCCATGGCAGCTGCTTTGGTCGCCATGGCAGCAGGATGCTGCTCTGCCAACAGCCTCCGGTCTGGCAGCCGCATGTGCGGGCACACAAACACACACACGTGTGCACACGCATGCACACATGGGCACACATATGTTCACATAGAGCAGCCCCATCCCAACCTCTTTCAAAGGCAGTGGGGCTGCCTCAGTTTCCCCAATTTTAAAACAAGTGGGGAGAAATGCCATATGAAATCTTGTCTGCCCCATGGGAGTATCCCCAGGGACAGCACAGTCCCTTGCCTTCAGTCCCCAGCCCGGCTCCCAGCAGGGCTGGCAGTGCCCGAGCAGTGTGGCACAGGTGCTGAGACCCCACAGCATCGTGACACACAGGCTGCAAGCAGCAACGTCCCTGAGCAGGACACAGTGATGACCACTCTTGGCAGCCCCGACCCCCTACCATCCAGCCAACCCCACTGACCCAAACAAAAACCCTGGTGGTGACACAATCCCTACCTGGCTGCAATGAGGTGGCAGCGCAGCACCCGCGGGTGGCCCTGCTCAGGCATCTTCACCTCCAGGTGGATCTCACCCTGCACCTCCTGGTCAGGGTGCACAGGCACCAGGCTGAGCCAGCTGTCAATGCCTAACAAAGGGGGCACGGGGTGGGCACCCCCAGCACGGGGATGAGCCCTATGCCCCCCATACTCCCCGTGCCCCTGCTCACCCCGCAGCTGTGCTGAGATCTGCTGGCGGCTCAGTGACACTTTGCCGATCACATCATCGTGCCTGCAGGGTGACACCGATGGGGACGGCCACCCCAGAGTGGTGCTGACCCCACTGCCCACCCGCTGCCATCAGCCCCGCTGCTCCCTACCCGATGGTGTCTTCATCCAGCACATAGATGGTGAGGCTGTGGAAGCCGCTGGGCAGGCGCAGGGTGAACTCCTCGCCCCAAAATGGGTTCAGGCTTCTCCACACCGTGGCTGTTCTGTGGGCAGAGGACCCCCATGGGCACTCCATCCGGACCCTGTGTCCCCTTCCCGTGGTGGGATGGTCACCTACCTGGCAACCACCTCATCGTCCACCTTGACCACGCAGTAGGGATCACTGGAGCCAGAGCTAGGAGGAGAAAGGGGACACGGGGGGGTCAGCACCCCATGGTGTTCCCTGAGGCAAGCACCCCAACGGCTCACCAGGGCACTGGCCACAAGACCCATGGCCACGGGTGCACTGAGCTGCTCAGTCTTAGCTGGATGCCCTGCCTGGTGACATCTTTTCCTGGCACCTTTTGAGCTGGGGGACCCGGGGGTCATCTCAACCATGCATCCCCATGTCCCTGGGTGTCTGTGCCAGCTGCGCAGCCATGCCTGAGTTTCTGTAGCAACCCACTTCCCTGTGTCAGGGCGTGGGGCTGGAAAGGTGTCATGGTGACATGGTGACACGGTGACACCAGCCTCTGCCTGGGCTTAACCCCTTGCAGCAAGGTAGAAAAGAAGAGCTGGTTCCCCAGGGTGAGGGCTGGGCATTGGCTCACAGACGATGCACCCAAGGGGTGCTAGGTGTCCTCCTGCTTGGGGACTGGCTGGAACCCCCCCCCCCCCCCCCCCCAAGGGATGCTGGGCCAGCTGTGGGGTCCCAGGATAGGTGCTGCAGCCCCCGGATGGGGCGGTCCCACATGAGACCCTGCAATATGGAGTCACCCCAACAGCTTTATGGGTCCCAGGGGAGGCGGTGAGGGGGTGTCCCAGGGGTGCAGGTCTTCTTGCAAAGGGGACCCCTAGCCTCAGCAGACCCCCTCCTCACTGAAATGAGCCGCAACCAGCAGGGATGAAAGCAGGAAGCCCCCAAACCATGGGCAGAGAGCAGCACCCCCCAGTGCCCCATGCCCCCTGGGTGGGGGGCAGAGATCCCCAGCAGCACTCACACGTCCTTGGCAGGCAGCTCCTTCCCCTCCACCAGCCGGCAGTACAGCGAGGTGCTCTTGGCCATGGCAGCGAACTGGAGGGGGAGTCTGGGGGCAGCCCACAACTCCGGAGGGGCTGTGAGGCCCCGCTTCTTCTTCTTCCTCCTCCTCCTCCTTGCCGCGTCCCTCTGCCACTCCTTCCTTTGCTGCTTCTGGGTTTGTTTTTCTCTGTGCTGGAGTGCGCGGGCACGCGGCAGCAGGCGAGCTGGGTGGGCTGGCCCTGTGCCCACTGTGGCCAAAACCCCGCAGCGTGGGGCTCACACCTATCAGGAGCTCACTGCTGCCAGGGGAGGTGAAGCCATGCCTGGGACCTGTGCCCTGCTATAGGGAAACTGAGGCACAGTGCTCTCACAGAGCGCCTGTCACCCTTTGAGTGTCCCCCTCCTCCCCCCCTCCTGCGGGTGGCTTCTGTCCTGTCACAGCCGGGTGGCAGCGGGACTGTCCCCAAGCTGGAGGGGTGGCAGGTGTATCCTCCTCGTCTGTCTGTCCGTCTGCACCAGTGCAGCTGTGTTGGGGAACCCTGATCTGGGGGAAGATGGAGGTGGTGTGGGGGGCTCTGTATGCTGTCCCCTCTGCTTCGTGCCATACTGGGGGGGCACTTGGTGGATAATTCTGGGTGTTAGCAGATGTCTCCTGTGAGTGACTCATGGGAGGTGTTGGCAGGTGGGTGGCACCATGTGGGCATCGGGTCCCCAGAGTGCCACCACCACGGGGTGTCACCATATGGGTGCTGTGTCTGCAGCACGGCACCGCCAGGAGGTGTCACCTTTGTGGGTGCTGGGTCCCCAGATGGGCTCTCTGTCACCAGGGTGGCGTGGCAGGGAGCAGCACTTTGCAGGCACCGGATACCCGGGTGGCACTGCCGAGAGATGTCCCACATGGATGTCCTGGGATGGCACTGCCAGGGGTTGTGCCCATCGGGGTGCTGGGTACCTGCCGTGGCACTGAGTGTCCCTGTATGGGTGCTGCTGCCACGGGGATGGCTCAGATGGGCACTGGGTCGCTGGGGGGTCACTGCAGGGGGTGTTCCCCTATGGGCACTGCGTCCCCAGCGTGGCACTGCCAGAGGCGTCCCCATATGGGTGTTGTGTCCTCACCACAGCGAGGGCAGTGCCAGAGAGTATTGCTTTATAGGCACTGGGTCACTGAAAGGACAGTGCCAGGGAGCGTCAGTTTTGTGTGCTGGATTCCCAGCACGGCACGGCCAGGGGCTGTGCCCATGGGGTGTCTGGGGTGGCGCTGTCAGAAGGTGTCCCCATATGGATGACGGGTCCTCAGGTGCCACTGCCACGGAGTGCCCCCTATGGCCACTGCATCTTCACGGCGGCACGGACAGGGCTGTCCCTTCGTAGGCGCTGGCTCCGCAAGCGCCACCACCCCGCCGTGCCCCGGAGTGCCACCCCCAGCGAGCACCGCCTCCGCCGCACCCCGCGTTTGCCGTCCGACCCGTCCCGGGCGCGGCTCCGAGGCCCACCCCGCGGGGGGCGGTGACGGAAAGCCGGGCCGCGGCGCCTGCCGCTCCGTATCCCAGCCCCCGCCCCGCACGGGGCGGGCCCGGCGGAGGGAGGCGGAGGCGGGCGGCGGGGCTCGGTGCGGCCCGGTGCCTCCGAGGGCCGGGGAGGCCGCGCCCAGCCCCGCAGGCCTCCCCGGGGCGGGCGGGCCGCCATGAAGCCGAGCGCAGGTGAGGCCTTGGGGGCAGGCGGAGCGGGCAGGCTGGGACGGGGGTGGGCACGGGGCAGGCGGGGGCATGAGCCCAGGCGAGACCCAGGCCCGACCCAGGCCCAGGTGAGGCCCGGCTCAGTTGAGGCCCAGTCGCAGGTGAGGCCCAGGTGAGGCCCAGGCCTGGTTCTGGTTCAGGCCCAGGCCTGCTGGTGACCCGCTGTCCCTCTGCCCAGAGGAGCCTGTGCTGCTGGCGGAGCTGAAGCCAGGCCGGCCCCAGCAGTACGACTGGAAGTCGAGCTGTGAGACATGGAGCGTGGCCTTCTCGTCCGACGGCGCCTGGTTCGCCTGGTCGCAGGGCCACTGCCTGGTCAAGCTGATCCCGTGGCCGCTGCAGGAGACTGAGCTGTGAGTAGTGCGGGCGGTGCTGTGGGTGTTGAGCTGACGGCCTCCGTGCCATTTGCCCATCGCCGTTCTGCCGTTTCTCTGCAGCTGTAGGGCCTCGGAGCGCAAGAGCCACAAAGCAGAGGCGAAGCGGAGCCGGGCAGGAGCCAAGGAGAAGACTTTGGAGTGTGGCCAGATTGTGTGGGGCCTGGCCTTCAGCACCTGGCCGGCGGCACGGCACCCTGATGGGGCGGCAGGGCTGTGCTGCCAAGTGTTGGCCACCGGCCTCAACGACGGGCAGATCAAGGTGTGGGAGGTGCAGACAGGTGAGCAGCTGTGCGGCGCCAGGGTGAGGTCAGGAAGCACTCTGCCCTTGGTGGAGATCCTGCTCCGTCCTTCCCAAATATTTTCTGAGCTGCTGCCCCATCCCAAGCAGAGTGTGGGTGTGAGGGGGACTGACGTGGCCGCTCTCTGCAGGACATCTTCTCTTCAGCCTTCTGGGGCACCAGGATGTCGTCAGGGACCTGAGCTTTGCGCCCAATGGAAGCCTCATCCTGGTGTCGGCGTCGCGGGACAGGACCCTGCGCGTCTGGGACCTTAGCAGGGATGGTAGGAGAGAGTGGGGATGGCCCTGGTGCTCGGTCACCCCTTTTTGAAACTTGTATTCCACTGTGGGCAAGGAGAGGGCACCAAGCCGCCTTGGAAGGAGAGACCATGGCAGAGGGGCTCTGGGATGGTATTTGAGGTAGAAGTGGGCATTCTGGGACACAGCAGAGGCCTCTGCTCCCAGGTGGGACCTGAGAGCTGCAGGAAGGGGTTGTAAATAGAGTCTTAGAATGGTTGGGCTGGAAGGGATCTCACAGCCTCTCCAGACCCTGCCCTGGGCTGGCTGCCCCCCACCAAATCAGGGTCTGTTTGTGGCCTTGAGCACCGCTGGGAATGGGACACCTGCAGCACTCAGGACAGCCTGGGTCAGCAGCCCACTGCCCTCTGAGTAATGAATTTCCTTCTAACATCTCACTTAAATTTCCCCTTTTAGTTTAAAACCATTCCCCCTCCTCTAATCACTCTCTGCCTGTGTAGAAGGTTAGTCTCCATCTTTTTTATAAGCTCTCTTCCAGTACTGAAATAGAGCACTTGGGACGTGCGTGGGAAATCCCCCAGCCCTGCATGCCTTTTTCCCTCTCGGGAGCAGAGCTGGGTGAGCAGTTGTGGCAGAATGCAGCTCTGTTCTTCCTGACTCGGTGTCTGCTGTCCCAGGGCGGCAGGTGCAGGTGCTGACAGGCCATGTGCAGTGGGTCTATTGCTGCTCCATCTCCCCTGACTGCAGCATGCTCTGCTCAGCTGCTGGAGAGAAGTCGGTGAGTCCCACAGGGTGGAGCCAGTCCTGTGTCCCACTGAATCCTGCTTTCCTCATGCAAGAAGGGGAAGGTGAGAGCTAGCCCTGGGAGCGCTCCCAGCTTCAGCTCCCCTGTGCCCCACAGGCACTGCTGTGGAGTATGCGGTCCTACACACTCATCCGCAAGCTGGAGGGGCACCAGAGCAGCGTGGTGTCGTGTGACTTCTCGCCAGACTCAGCGCTCCTGGTCACTGCCTCGTATGACACCTGTGTTATCATGTGGGACCCCTACACTGGGGAGCAGCTGAGGACTCTGCGGTACGGAGCTGGGGGCTGTGGGGACCAAGCGGTGGGGACACAGGGGTGCTATGAGAGTTTGGTGGAGTTGAGCGTGGCCTTGATGCTGAGCTTGTTTTCCTCCCTGCAGCCATGTCCCCTTGCACTCAGCACTGGAGTATAGCAGTGATGTCCACACCAGCTCCCTGCGGTCGGTCTGCTTCTCCCCAGAGGGCCTGTACCTGGCCACGGTGGCAGATGACAGGCGAGTTAACCCTCTTTTGAGGTTTCCAGAGGGAAAGAGGGTTCAAGGAGGACACACCAATGTGCACCAGGGGCTTGGGGCATCCTAATGGGGAGCAAAATTCACGTGTCAAAGAGAGCACTGCGCTCAGAGCCCTGTTTGTGCAGGGAGCAGCAAGATCAGAGCCTTGTCATCTCCCTGAGCAAAGGGCTTGGACTTGCACCTGTGTGCTGGTCTGTCATCCAGCTCAACTCTGCAGGGGTCGGCGCTTCTGCCTGGCTGCTGAGATGTCATGCTGGGGGGCTCTAAGTCCAAGACAGAAAACCCTTCCATTACGTGCATTCAAGTGGCCCCAGAAGCTTCGTTTTAGCTGCAGGCACTGCCTAGCATTGTGTCCTTTTCCCCTTAGGCTCCTGAGGATCTGGGCGCTGGAGCTGCGATCTCCAGTGGCGTTTGCTCCCATGACAAATGGTTTATGCTGCATGTACTTCCCTCACGGTGGCTTCATTGCCACAGGGTGCGTATATCTGCTGGGGGAGGCTCCAGGGAAACCAGCTGGGAGTGTGAGCTGATTTTCCAGGATGGGGAGCGCGTGGGGCTGCTGCAAGCTCGGGATATTTGGGGCTGATTGTGCTTCCTTCTCTCTGTGCGGCGTTGGGTGTTTGCTCAAAGCCTGTTTGGGTCTCATTGCAGGACCAGAGATGGCCACGTCCAATTCTGGACGGCTCCAAGAGTCCTCTCGTCACTCAAGCACTTGTGCCGCAAAGCCCTGCGCACCTTCCTGACCACGTACCAGGTCCTCGCACTCCCCATTCCCAGGAAGCTGAAGGAGTTCCTCACCTACCGGACTTTCTGAGGTATCAGAGACACGGAGGTGAGAGCCCTCTGCCTCGTGGTAGGGCTGGCTGCCCCGCAGAGCACCAGAGGCTTGTGAGCTGTGGGGCAGGACTGTTGCTCCCCTCATTTTGGGGCCGTCTGTGAACGTGGAGGTATTTTTTTGTGTAATAATACTAGAACCCAGCAAAAATGCTTGCAGAGTGCAAGGGGCACGGCACAACCTGGGGACAGCTCTGGTCCCCCTGTCCTCCTGCTATTTGCAAGTTTTGGGTCAGGTGCTTTTGCTTCCAAGTGCAATGTTGTGGGGTGAAGATTAGCAGCTGCAGTCTGAGCAAGTGTTTGTCAGTACAAATTTGGGGCCACAGCCATCCCTGACAACAGCACCCTGTGCCAGGAGCAGCCTG